TCAGCCTCAGTCTGCCGTCGGCCTCGGCCTCAGCCTCAGCCTGCCTCACCCTCAGCCTGCATCAGCCTCAGCCTCAGCCACAGCCTGCCTCAGCATCAGCCTGCCTCAGCCTCAGCCTCAGCCTCAGCCTGCCTCAGCCTCAGCCTCAGCCTCAGCCTGCTTCAGCCTCAGCCGGAGTTTGCCTGCAGCCTCGGCCTCAGCCTCAGCCTGCCTCAGCCTCAGCCTGCCTCAGCCTCAGCCTCAGCCTCAGCCTGCCTCAGCCTCAACCTGCCTCAGCCTCAGCCTCAGCCTGCCTCAGCCTCAGCCTCAGCCTGCTTCAGCCTCAGCCTCAGTCTGCCTTCAGCCTCGGCCTCAGCCTCAGCCTGCCTCAGCCTCAGCCTGCATCAGCCTCAGCCTCAGCCTCAGCCTGCCTCAGCATCAGCCTGCCTCAGCCTCAGCCTCAGCCTGCCTCAGCCTCAGCCTCAGCCTGCTTCAGCCTCAGCATCAGTCTGCCTTCAGCCTCGGCCTCAGCCTCCGCATGCCTCAGCCTCAGCCTGCATGAGCCTCAGCCTCAGCCTCAGCCTGCCTCAGCATCAGCCTGCCTCAGCCTCAGCGTCAGCCTGCCTCAGCCTCAGCCTCAGCCTGCCTCAGCCTCAGCCTCAGTCTGCCTTCAGCCTCGGCCTCAGCCTCAGCCTGCCTCAGCCTCAGCCTGCATCAGCCTCAGCCTCAGCCTCAGCCTGCCTCAGCATCAGCCTGCATCAGCCTCAGCCTCAGCCTGCCTCCGCCTCAGCCTCAGCCTCAGCCTGCCTCAGCCTCAGCCTCAGTCTGCCTTCAGCCTCGGCCTCAGCCTCAGCCTCAGCCTGAGCCTGCATCAGCCTCAGCCTCAGCCTCAGCCTGCCTCAGCATCAGCCTGCCTCAGCCTCAGCCTCAGCCTGCCTCAGCCTCAGCCTCAGCCTGCTTCAGCCTCAGCCTCAGTCGCCTTCAGCCTCGGCCTCAGCCTCAGCCTGCCTCAGCCTCAGCCTGCATCAGCCTCAGCCTCAGCCTCAGCCTGCCTCAGCATCAGCCTGCCTCAGCCTCAGCCTCAGCCTGCCTCAGCCTCAGCCTCAGCCTGCTTCAGCCTCCGCCTCAGTCTGCCTTCAGCCTCGTCCTCAGCTTCAGTCTGCCTTCAGCCTCAGCCTGCCTCAGCCTCAGCATCAGCCTGCCTCAGCATTCAAAGTGTGGCCCGGGAATGGAGTTCTGGGAACTCGACGAACACGAAATGGCCTACAGTTGGCTCCGGGCATTCAAAATCATGCCCAGGAATGGAGTTCTGGGAACTCGAACACCACGAAGTGGCCTACAGTTGGCTCCGGGCATTCAAAATCATGCCCAGGAATGGAGTTCTGGGAACTCGAAGACCACGAAGTGGCCTACAGTTGGCTCCGGGCATTCAAAATGTGGCCCGGGAATGGAGTTCTGGGAAGTCGAAGAGCACGAAGTGGCCTACAGTTGGCTCGGGCATTCAGAATGTGGCCCAGGAATGGAGTTCTGGGAAATCGAAAAGCACGAAGTGTGTGACTGTATGCGAAAAACGATCCCCCCCGGCAAACCCCAACGGCCCCCCAACGCTCCCCAACGGCTGCCCAGACCCCCCTGTGGAGTAATGTGCTGCTCTCTTTTTAGCCCATTAGAAACCTATCAGTCTTCGCTGTTAGGTAAAAATGTCCCTTGAAAATGGAAACGGCGAAAAAGCGGGGAGACCGGAAATGGTAAAAACGGCTCCAGGATCGGAATTGGAGCCGGAACGGGTCACAAAACGGCGACGGAACCGGTTTTCAAAAAAAACGGCGTCGGAACCGGCAACAAAAACGGCAAAGCGGAACCGGTGAAAAAACGGCCCTGTCGTTTCCAGGGCCCACTGAGTTTCTGGCACCCTGGAAGGTCAGGGGAGTCGCTCTGCTGTCGGGCCGGGCGAAAGGGGGGGATTGGGAAAGGGGGGGTTACGAAATCTGCTGCATGCAGCTGGTTTCGGCCTCACCGAGGTGCCCATTCCTTGATACATAGCCGCCTCCAGCGCCGGGAGGCGCCAGGAAAATCAGCTACGTGAGCTGATTCTCAATCCCCCCCTTTGCTATCCCCCCTTTCGCCCGACCCGATGCTGGAAGGGTGCGTCGGGTGGGGGCTTGCAGGGTGCCGGGCGGCAGTTTGCGGGGATGGGTGGAGGGAGGGGGGGGGGAGGGACGGGTGGAGAGCGGAGGGAGGGAGGGGGACGGAGGAGGGGGGGGAGAAGGGGAGGAGGAGAGGAGGAGGGGAGGAGAGGAGGAGGAGAGAGGAGGAGGAGGAGGAGGAGGAGAAGAGTGAATTGAGAATAAGAAGAGGAGGCGCAGCGGGAGGAGGAGGAGGAGGAGGGGGAGGGAGGAGGCCAGGAGGGAGCGGATGATTTGTGTGAGGGGGCGGGAGGGAATAGTCTTTTTTTTGTTGGTGAGAATATCGAGGGAAGAGAAGTCAGGGTGCGGAGAAGGCGTGATGGTAAGGAGGAGGAGGAGGAGGAGGAGGAGAAGGAGGAGGAGGAGGAGGAGGAAGCGGATAGGGGTGCCCGCTCCACGGTCTCACTCCCCGCCCCCTCCTCCGCGGACGGGGGATAGTGCTCGGGGCGGCGAACGATTCCCGTTGTCGTCGTCGCCTCACTCCTCTATGGGCGTCCTCGTCCCCGGCGTCGCGTTGCTCCGCCCCCACCCTTGTTCATGATAATTGCTTGTCGTCGTCGGGTTGTCGTGGTGACACACGCCACGCCCTCCCGAAATTGCCCGCCGCCTGATCGTGTCGGCATCCCGGTAAGATCAAGTTTACTTCTCTTGGGGTTGATTATTCGTCTTGTAAGTTGAAGAAGACGACTCAGCTAACAATCAGAAGCAACATACAGAAAATGAACAAGGGGGTGAGCATGATGACGTGGAGGAGGAGGAGAAGGAGGAGAAGGAGGAGGAGGCGGCAGGGAAGGTCAGCATGAATATCATGAGGAAGAGGGATATCAGAAGGTGCAGGAGGAACGAACAGGAGGAGGAGGAGGAGGAGGACGAGGCGGAGGCGGAGGAGGAGGAGGAGGAGGAGGAGGAGGAGGCGGAGGCGGAGGCGGAGGCGGAGGAGGAGGAGGAGGCGGAGGCGGAGGAGGAGGAGGAGGAGGAGGAGGAGGAGGAGGAGGAGGAGGAGGAGGAATGATGAGAAGGGGGAGGAAGCACGAGGTCATACCAGTGAGTCGGCATGCGGGCGGAGGGGTGAGGGAGGCGGGATGCGGCAGAAGGGAGGGGGGAGGGATGAGTAAGGAGCCTCTCCCCCCTCCGTGTTTCTCCCTTTCCCACCTGATCTCTTCCTCCACCTTCTTGTCCTCATCTTCCTCCTCTTCCTCATGCCGTCCCCATTGAGACACGCTGCACCTCCTCATTCTCTGCTCCTCGTCATCAAAATCCTCCTCCTTTTCATCTTCCTTCTCCTCCTCCTCATCCTGCTCCTCCTCCACCCCCTCTTCTCCTCCTCCTTTCTTCCATCCACCCCTCCACCTCCTCCTCCTCCTCCACCTCCTCCTCCTCCACCTCCCTCTCCTCTTCATCACCACCATCGCCACCACCGCCACCATCATCATCACCATCATCATCATCATCATCATCATCATCATCATCAGCATCATCATCAGCAGCATCATCATCATCATTATTAGCATCATCATCAGCAGCATCATCATCGTCAGCAGCAGCAGCAACAGCGTCGCCATCAGCATCATCATCATCATCATCATCATCATCATCATCATCATCATCATCATCATCCTCATCATCAGCATCAGCATCATCAGCAGCAGCACCAGTGGCATCAGCATCAGCATCATTATCATCAGTATCTTCATTATCATCAGCAGCAGCATCTTCAGCAACACCTTCATCACCATCATCATCAGCATCATCATTTCCCTCATCATCATCAGCAGCATCAACAGCATCGTCGTCACACTCATCATCATCATCACCACCATCATCAGCATTGTCGTCATCAACAGCAGCCCCATTACCATCATCAGCATCATCATGATTGCCATCATCACCACCACGATCACCACCACCATCATCGTCAGCATCAGCATAGTAATCAGCATAATCAGCATTATCAGTATCAGCATCGCTATCATCAGCACCATCATCATCGTTATTGTTATCACCACCATCGTCATCATCCTGATCACCATCACCACTACCGTCATCACCGTCATCGTCATCATTATCATCATCGTCAGCATCATCATCGTGTCTACAATCCTCATCATCATCATCAGCAGCAGCAGCAGCAGCATCAGCATCAGCATCATCATCATCAACATCACCAGCATCACCAGCATCATCATCATCATCATCATCGTCATCATCATCGTCATCATCATCACCAGCATCATCTTCGTCATCATCGCCATCATCATCAGCAGCATCAGCATTAGCATCACCATCACCAGCATCATCATCACCATCATCATCATCATCATCATCATCATCAGCGTCAGCGTCAGCGTCAGGGTCAGCATTCCTTCTTCCTCCTCCTCGATCTCGTCCTCCTCTTCCTCTCCCCTGCACCGCTTCCGTCCCCCTCCTCCTCCCCCACCATCCTCTCCTCCTTCCCACCCTCCACCTCACCTCACCTATCCTCCTCATCCTCCTCACCTATCCTCCTCATCCTCCTCCTCATCCTCCTCCTCATCCTCCTCCGCCTCCGCCTCCTTCCCTCCTCCCCATCTTCTTTGTCCCTTCCACCCACCTCCCTCTCCACCTCATGCCCGCGCCTTCCTCTGACCCCCTCGACCGCATCCTCCTCCTCCTCCTCCTCCTCCTCCTCCTCCTCCTCCTCCTCTTCCTCCTCCTCCTCCTCCGTCGCCGCCTCCTCCTCCTCCTCGTCCTCCTCCTCCTCCCCCCTTCTCCCTCCTCCTCCTCCTCCTCCTCCTCCTCCCTCCTCCTCGCCCCCTCTTCCTTCTCATCCTCCTGCGCCTCCTTCCCGCGCCAGCCAGGTGCTCCTGGGCGTCGTGGCCTGCAGGGTGGTGATGCTGGACGGTGCGGACGGGGAGGCGCCCCGGCCGGCCGCGCCCGCGGGGGAGGCGGCGAGGGAGGAGGAAGGGAGCGGGGAGGGTTGAGTCTTTGAGCCGCTTGGGGGTCTGAGGTGGCCCTGGCCCAGAATTTGCATTTCGAGGTTATGGGTTCGAGGAGATATGTTATGGGTTCGAAAACCTCCACCATGTGGTCCCCAGGAGGGGTCTGGGGACCGATTTTGAATTCACTTGGCCTCATCCCCCCTTCTGACCGATCCTCTGGGGTCTCAACCAGTTCAGACCACCCGGCCGCATTCAACTCTCCGGAACGCTTTGGAAGGCCCATCACGTGTTGCTTTATATGCGCTAAGCTTGGGGCCAGACGTGCCCAGCTTGGCAGGTCTCTTTGCCGAGGCGAGACGGACCCAGTCGAGAGCGCACTGCGGCGCTGAACGTCGCCAATGCTGGGCAAGGCCAGGACTGCGGCCCACGCGCGAGGAGGGAGGAGGAAGGAGGGGAGAGGGAAGGAGGGCGAGGGGAGGAGGGCAGGGAGAGGGAAGGGAGGGCGAGGAAGTGAGGAGGAGGGAGGAGGAAGGAAGGGAGAGGGCAGGAGGGCCAGGGGAGGATGCGCTCGCGCTGTATCTGACACCCAGCCCCCTCCCGCCCATCCCGTCTCACTGCGGTGGGTTTTCTCCATCCGTGGGCGCGCGTCGCAGCGGACCACGCTGCAAGAAGCATCCCGAGACGCTGCTCCACAGGATATGGTCCTGCGAGGCCAACCGCGACCACGACGACTACGATGAGACCGCCTCGCTGTCTGCGGCGGCGATGGCGCAGCATGAGAGCCAGCCCGCCTTCTGGCTCCGCGGAGTGCCCACCGCCTGCATGGCCACGCCTCGGTTTGGTGAAGCGCTGCTGGCCGAGCAAACATAGTCTCTCACGGTGTTGTGCGCGCTCGGGGGACAGGGGGGGCCTGCGTGCGTGTATGGAGGGGGGAGGACAAGGCGACAGATGAGCAGGAGGATGAGCAGGAGGAGAACGAGGAGGACAGGGGAAGCAGGAGGGCGAGGACGAACAGCAGCAACGGGACTGGGGCGGAAGGAGCGGGAGCAGGAGGAGGACCAGGGGAAGGCGGAGGAGGGGAAAGGAGGGGGCGACAACGATGAGGAAGGATTCGTGTCCAGAGAAGTGGCCCGCGCTGGGGCGAGAGCGCCATTCCCAACGACGGGAGGAAAGCAGCGATCCTAAAATGAGGTCTACGCTGCGACGGGAACGCTCTTGAAGGACCGGATTTGAAGAACACAAACATAGCAATATAAGTTGAAACCAAGTCTTACGAGCACCATGCACGGAGAGGACGCGGCATTCTCAACACGTCTTCGGGAAAGAGGGCAGTTGTACTCATTGTGCAACTGTGGGGGAGGGAGGGCACGCACACTGCTGCTGAGTGTGCCTGCGTCCACCGCCGAGCCACTCTGCCCGGCGATGCACCGTGGCACACCCGACGGGCCAGCGGCACAGGTCGGCTCCGCCGACGCACTGCAGCGCCACAGCGTGCTCTGCGAGCCCAGCTTGGACCACCTGGGCCTCGAAGTCCCGGCCCGATGCTCGGGAGCCTCGCCGCAAAAACGCCCAGCGTTGCGCTGCTCGGGCCTTTGCGCGCCCGGCCGGCGGCGGGGCACCCGGCGTGGTGTCGCCGCCGCGGGCGCTGTGCCGCGCGCCGGCCTGGAAGCAGCGGCGCCGCTCCAGTGTTGAGCTGACGTCTGCTCCGGCCCGAGGTGGCCGAGCAGCACGCGGTGCTCGATCTCGCACTCCTGGGTCAGTAGCTCCAGCTCCTTGCTGTGGGGTCGGCGGGTCTCGGCCTCCGCGGCGTTCCAGCCAGGCCAAGCCGTGGGAGCGCTGGGAAGAATGTCGCGCGAGGGGGCGTTGGCGCTTCCCATGCCCTGGGCGTGGTTCGTAACGCCCTCGTAGTCTGTCGCGACGCTGGCCTCGACGATCAGCGGGCCCTCGAAGAAGCTGTCCTCGTCTCTGCCCCAGGCGTGCTCCGAGCCGATGGAGCTCATGACAGCACTCTGCGCGTTCTTCTGACTCGTGTTGGGTGTCTGCACTTCCTCCGCGTTTCGCGCGGCCGGTGTTCACTGTCTCGCTGGCTGTGGCGACCGGGGGGGCCTGCATGACGCCATCCGTGCCGACGAAGTGCTGTGTTGATATCTTGGCTACGATGTAGATCGTGCCGATGGCCACGACGCCTGAGAGAACCTGGAAGGTGTCTTACGTGCAGATGGCATGCAGCTCCCAGATAACGTCTTCGGTGCCCAATGAGTCGCATGCATCGTCGTCGAGGGGAATCCTTGCGAATGCCTCCGTGCGAAACTGCTCATGGGTCTTGGTGCAGATGTCTACCATGGCCCTTGGCCTCGGTGTAGGAGGGGGCCATGCTGACGCCCTCCTTGTCGCTAGCCTCCTTGTCGCGGCCTGTAAGGGGCCTCCTGGATCGTGGCGCATTTGATGTCTATCGTGTCACTGGCCTCGACGTCCAAGTGGAACTGGATGCCTCCACGCCTATGGAAAAATGGCGCCTGAACCTCGGTGATGATTTCCATCACGTCGCTGGCCTCGACATCAACGGGGCGGAAACCCTTCGTGACGGTGCTGATCAGCTTCTGGGTCGTGCCGCTCGCCGCCGTCGCCATTTCCAAGCCAAGGTGGAAGACGGCAATGGGGGGAAAAGCGGAGCGCTCTCCTGGGTTTCCACGTGACCATCTCGCGGTGATCGGGAGTTTCCCGATGAAGTGTTCCTCAGCATCGCCCTCCTCGGCGTGCTGGTCGTCACCATGCACCGCGCCACCATGTTGTCACCTGCTCTCGAGCAACACCCCTGGATGAGCGGCTCGCCCAAGAAGGGCGAGCCGATATCGACGGACCTCAACTGCCCAAGGCGCGCGCGTACGTACCTGGATTTGACCTGTGTGTGTATGTGTGTGTGTGTGTGTGTGTGTGTGTGTGTGTGTGTGTGTGTGTGTGTGTGTGTGTGTGTGTGTGTGTGTGTGTGTGTTTGTGATGTTCCGCGTGGGGTGGGGGGGGGGGGGGGGGGGGGCTCGCGCGGGGCGCCTCTGCGAAGCTTACGTTTTTTGGGAGGCCGTCGACGTCGCCAACGCTTTGCGAGGCTTCCTGCCAACGGGGGGGGGCGTCGTCGCCGGGGGAGGGGAAGAGGAGGAGGGGCAAGAGGGGGAGGAGGAGGAGGGGCAAGAGGGGGAGGAGGAGGAGGAGGGGGAGGAGGAGGAGAAGGAGGGACGAGGAGGAGGAGGGGGAGGGGAGATGAGGAGGAGGAGGAGGAGGAGGAGGAGAGGAGGAGGAGGAGGAGGAGGAAGGAGGAGGAGGAGGAGGAGGAGGAGGAGGAGGAGGGGAGGAGGAGGAGGAGGAGGAGGAGGAGGAGGAGGAGGAGGAGGAGGAGGAGGAGAGGAGGAGGGGAAGAGGGGGAGGAGGAGGAGGAGGAGCAGTAGGAAGAGTAGGAGGAGGAGGAGGAGGAGGAGGAGGAGGGGGAGGAGGAGGAGGAGGAGGAGCAGTAGGAGGAGGAGGACGAGGAGGCGGTGGTCGGCGCGCGGGGGGCCCGGCCAGGGCGAGCTCTCCCTCGGGCTCCGGCCACGGTCGGGGCCGAGAACTTGGCCCCCAGGCCGCGCTGTGGCCACCCCGCAGCCGGCCTTGGGGCCCCAACGGCCACGGGGAGGGGGGGGGGGAGAGGAGGAGGGAGGAGGGGGGGGGGAGGGAGGAGGAGGGAGGAGGGAGAGGAGAGGAGGGAGGAGAAGTAGGGGAACAAAAAGTGGCATAAACATAACTCGGAGGTCCGCGCGGATTTCTCGTATCGGCGCTGGGGCCAACCGGCGGCGCCCCGGCGCCCCCCCTGGCGGCGCTCGCGCGCCAGGGAGGGGGGGTCCAGCGCCCGATCCGAGAAATCCGCGCGGACCTTCGAGTTGTTATGTGTATGCCACTTTTTGTTCCCCTAAGAAGGGGAAGAGGGAACAGGGAGGAGAAGGTTGGGAAGGAGGAGGGAGGGAGGGAGGGAGGGAGGCGGGAGGAGGAGGAGAAGGGGCCAGGAGGAGGCGGGGCCGCCATAGTTTCAGGTTGCTTGGGGTGATCCTGCAGCTTGCCCTCGTACCCCCCAAGCCTCCCAGCGGCGACAAGATCATGGCCGCAGAATTCATTGCCCTTCGGCGAGCTTGTGCTCCTGGAGGGGAAGAAGTCGAAGAACAACATTCGGCATACACATAATCTCTCGGAGCTCCGCGCGGATTTTTGGATCGGCGCTGTGCGCCACTGGCAGCGCCTCCGGCGCCGCCCCTGGCGCGCGGAGCGCGCCATGGAGGAGTCCCAGCGCAGATCCGAGAAATCCGCGCAGACCTCCGAAAGTTTATGCCGACGCAGGTCTCTGCTCCCCTCCGGGAGGGGAGAGAGGGAGCATCGACGACACGCTGGCTTCGGCAGACCGCGGGCGCAGCGTGCTGCTCCGTCGCCTTTTGTTCTCGGGAGGCCTGTAGCGCTTCTTCAGCAGCAGCGCGCCGACGGGCTCGCCACGGCGGCGTGTCGTTGGTGCTGGCTTGGCTCCCCGAGCGATGGGCCCCACCGTGGGGGGGCCTGGCTGCGGAGGCGCCATGCGCGCGGGGCAGTAATCAGGAGGGGGAAACAAACACACAGACACACTGAATCGCCGATCCCCAGGAAAATATGGGAAAATCTGGGAAGTGGGGGGGAAGACAAAAACCCAGAGGATATGGAAACATATATGGGCAATCGTTGTATTTGTGTGTATATATTTGCGTGTCCCAGGGCGCCTTCAAGATCGGCGGGGCCCTCGTTGGGCCCAGGGATTCCTCGGCTCGGCAGACGAGGGCGCGCGATGTGCGTCGGGCGGCTCGGCACTTCGCCAGAGATCGCCGTCGTGCCAGTGGGGGCCTCTGCGGCGCAGCTCTCTTTGTGCTGGCGCCCGCGCAGCCTGTCGCCGCACGTGTCCTCACTGCCATCGGGCTCCGGCGGCCCGTCCTCGTCGCAAGTCCTTCTTTCTCCCTGCTGTCCCTCGTCGGCTCAGGACTCAGCTCCTGGGAGGTAAACTGGATTCAGCATCGGCGCTGGTAGTTATGCCCGTGGTCGAGAAGGGGCCCAGTCAGGCACAGTCCCGCTTGATCCCGCGAGTCCAGCTTGATCCGGCCTGATCCGGCTACGTCCCGGGTTTAGTTTGGGTTTTAACCCAGCTTGCCGTGCTCAATCGGCCGTAACCGTTGGTACCAAGACTTCTCAGGCGTTGCCTCCTTAGCTGGCGTCGTCTATTCTCGTTTGTCTGCCACGTCCGTAGTGCACCCCTCGGGTATCGTTTCTGTTGTTCGATGTTCGTTTTCAGGTTTCTGTATTTGTTTGCGTATACCATGAAATTAATCAATTGTTCCAGCCTCGGTTTCCAGTTTTCCGTGTTCGATTTTCAGTTTCCGTTTCCGATGGTGTTTGTGTTTATTTCTGGCCTTTGGGTTCCGTTTCCAGTTTCGAGTTTGTGTATTCGGGTTTGTGGTTTTCACGTGTCCGTTCTCTTATCGTCCAGAGTGCCGTGTTCCGTCTCCGTTTCCGGTTCGGCCTTCTTGGTTTTCAGTTTCCGTTTCTGGCCGCCCCCCCAGACGAGCGTTTTAGAGGGAGGTTTTGTTTCTACCACCCCGTGTTCCCTCGCTGCTGTTGCCGGGGCGGGGGGGGGAGAGGAGGAAGGAAGGGAGAGGGATCGCCGGAGAGAGGCGGGAAGGATGAGGGTGGGGGGGAGGCAGAGGGGAGGAGGGGGGGGGAGGATCGTGGATGGAGGAGCTGCGAGGGGGTCGTGGATGGAGGAGCTGCGAGGGGGTCAGGAGGAAGAGGAGGAAGATGAGGAGGAGGAGGAGGAGGAGGAAGAGGAGGAGGAGGAGGAGGAAGAGGAGGAGGAGGAGGATGGAGGAGGAGAGGGGAGAGGAGGAGGAGGAGGGGAGGAGGAGGAGGAGGAGGAGGAGGAAGAGGAGGAGGAGGTGGAGGAGAAGGGTCGAGGAAAAGCAGTCAAGCAGAGGTGGGCGGACTTGCTTCCCATCCTCCCCCGTCTCCTCCCCCTCCGCCTCCTGCTCATGCTACTTTTCCCGTTCCTATTCCCCTTGCCTCCACTTCCTTCTCCACCTCCCCCGTCTCATGACTGTTGAGGAGGAGGAGGCGGAGGAGGAGGAGGAGGAGGAGGTGGAGGAGGAGGAGGAGGAGGGAGGAGGAGGAGGAGGAAGAGGAGCAAGAGGATGAAAATGCCGCAAGCGATGTGTTCATGAAGTGGGGTATCTTGCGGCGGGCCGTTCCGCAGGAGAAGGCGCCCAAGACGGGGCCGATGAGCACTCTGCTGCCGCTGGTTGCCGGCCGAGCGGGGAGGGAGACGGGCGGCGGATGGTCAGGAGGAAGAGGGGGACGAGTGTTCGGTGGAGGGCTAAGATGGGAATGATGACGACGCCGCCGACGACGATGATGATGAGAAGGAGGAGGAGGAGGAGGAGGACGGGAATGTGGAGTGTGATGCTGGTGATGATGGTGAGTGTGATTGTGACGAGGATCATGATTGTGCTCCTGGTGATGAACATTATTACGATGCTGATGCTGATAATGGTGGTGATGATGATGCTGATGATGCCGATGATGCTGATGCTGCTGATGATGATGATGGTGGTGGTGGTGATGATGCTGCTGATGATGACAAGAATGATGGCGATTTTGATGAGGATGATAATCCGGATGAGGATGAGGATGAGGATGAGGATGAGGATGTTGATGATGATGATGATTATGATGGTGCTGCTGATGATGATGATGATGATGATGATGATGATGATGATGATGATGATGATGATGATGATGACGAAGCGGAAAAGTAGAAGATAGCAGGAGAGTTGCGAGATCACGATTTGGAGGAGCAGGAGCAAAATGAGGGCAAAGAGTGACTTGGAGGAGGAGGAGTGAGGCGCCGTGGGAGAAGGGCCCGAGCAGATCCAGCATGCGCCACCGATGCTTCATCATGACCCCCCCGTCCGACTGCCTCTCCTCAAAGGTCAGTGGCAGCATTCCTGTCCTCGGAGGAGGAAAAGATACCCATACCTCTACCCTTGCCCCTTTTCCCTTTTTGGGGCCTCCTGGGCGGCCCTCGTCGCCACCACGGGATTCGCTTCGAAATTCTGGTCAGAACGCACCCCGGGAGAGGTCCGGGGAGTATCGGTATCGCTACCTTTTGGCGAGCGCCCGGTCAAAAGTCGGAGTCCAGGTTCTGGGATGGCAGGCGGAGCTTGGGGCCGGGCTTTCTTTCGCTCTCTCTCTGCCTCGCCCTGGCGCGTTCCAGAAAAAGGGCCTCGCCTTCGGCTGGGCATCGCTCGGACGTGTGCATTTTTCCTTCGGCGAGGGCCATCGAGGAGCATCCCTGATCATTTGGCGAAAGAACCACGCACGAAACCGAAAAAAACACAGGGAATGGACGTCCGAGCGATGGCGAGTCGGGGCATCGAGAAGTTGCCTCCTCTTCGTCGGGGGGAGGGCCGGCGGGCGGCTGCGGCAGTAGAACGAGGCCGCCTCCGCCGGCGGCAGGCCGGCGGAGGCAAGCTTCTGGGAGCGTGCGTATCGCTGCACAGCGTCCCCACCTGTGGGGATGTCTGGTTCGGTCTCCTGCCAACGCAGCTTGCGTTTTGATGAGGGTCATGTTGTCCCCTGCACGTGCATTCGCCTCGGTGGCCAACTTACATCGTCACGCGACCCGGACGCTGTCTTTGCTCCCTGTCATCCGCCTTGGAGCCGCGAGCCAGAAAAAGTATCGCTGCACAGCGCGACGAGATTGAGTGGGAGTTTCTCTTCACCCGCGTTGATCGTAGACATTGCATGAGGAGTACGCGATGCAGAACAAGAGGACGCGGTTCGAAAAAGACAGCGGCATGTACATGATTACGTTGCCCATCCATCCATGTTGCATCGGGGTATTCCAAGCGAGTTGTCCCGGACGAGAATGCGGCGTTGGAATGCTACGATCGGTATCTTTTGCTTAGCGTGTCGCTCCACCAGTTCTGGCCCACCACGCTTCAGCGCGACACGCTGACCACGCCGCAGTCCCCAAGCGTCATCGTCCCGAGTTTTTCCCAGCCCCCCGCCCCGCGAAGCGAAGCGACACGCCATCCGCGCACAGTGCATGGCGTGCCGCGGGAGGCCGATGCCGCGACAAGCGAGGCAAACGTTCTTCATAACACAATCAACTTGCATCGTCAGGATGAGCAGCTTTCCAAGGTTACCTTTGCATCCTTCCCTTTCGGCCTATCCTTGGCCGCTTTCGCTGGCCGCGCCCCGCTCGCAAAGTGTCGACATGGCCTTCCAAGGCCCTAATCCTCGTCGTGCGTTTTTATCATACGGGTGGATTGTAAGCTTTGTGGACAGAATTTTCAGGACATGTCAGGTATCGGATCGATTTGAATGGGGATTCGCCCTTCATCCGTGAATTGCTGTAAAATGCAAAGCTGCAGGATCACAGCATGACAGGCGGTTGCTGTCGACAGTGTGAATTTGAAAACTACCCACTTTCCATTTGTGCAGCTGCTGGAGAGCTCAAGCTTCAAGACAACCGCGTGCAATGCGCATACCACCCGCCCTCCATCCGTGCATACTTGTCGGAAGTTCGAGCTTCTGAATCATAGGTTTTCAAGGCGTCCCATGTGTGAGCCAGGTTTGAGGACCACACACCTTCCATCTGTGTAACAGTCGGGGGTTCCAAGCTTGAGATACACAGCATGTCAGGAAGTCGCCAGACGCTGAAGCCTCCCGTCTTCCAGCCGTATCCTTGGCGTTCCGGGCACTCACGACATTCCCAAACAGCTTGTCTTGCACTTGGGGCTATTTACTCCTCTCGTGAGGAACTGGGCCTGTGCGTTGGTCCAGCCGGCGTGTCGCCGGCCGTCGCCGCCGCCCGTCGCCGCACCGTTGTGGTCACGGTTTTCTCACTGTGCGAGGCTCGCAGCTGGGACTGCGTCTGCCGGTGCAGCCGGCTCGCGGTCGCCCGTCGCCGCCGTCCGTCGCCCCGCACCAATTTTTGGTCGCGAGTTTGATGGATTGCGAGGTTCGCAGTTGGTGTTGCTTTTTGCACTGCGTCGTCGCATTCCTGTCCATGGCGTTGCACTCCCTTGCGTTGCTTTCTGTGCTGCTTCACGCTGCTCTGCGCTGCTTCACATTCGTTTGCGTTTTGATTTGCGTTGCACTGCTTTGTATTGCTATGCGTTGCTCTGCATTGCTTGGAACTGCTTTTTCGTTGAATTACATGGGTTTGCATTTGTTTGCGTTACTTTGAGTTACTTTGCATTGCTCCGCATTGCTTTGTACTGCTTTTCATTGCGTTGCATTGCCTTGGATCGCATTTCATCGATTTGCATTGTTTCACGTGGCACTGTTGCACCTCATCTGTTGTATCACCTAGATTGTACCACACTGGTTGCAGCACCTCGATTGCACCGCATAGGTTCAAGCAGTCACTGCTTGGGGTTCACGCTGGCGAACAACAAATGTCGAGAAGTCACACGCGTGAGCCATAGTCCAAGAACAGCAATCCTTCGATCTGGATGAACAGATGGGGTAGTTAGAGTTGTTCTGGGATGTTACTTGGAAGGGAGAGTCTCCAGCGCAACGCCTGGTCCGCCCTACCAGGAGACCTGGTGGCACGCCGGGGAGCTGCATTCTGGAAAGGGTAGGTGCAGCATCATTAAGATGAAAGTGAGAAACTTGCGAGTGGGGTGAGGGGACGGCGGCGAGAAGAATGGGGAGGAGGGGGCGAAGACGACGACGAGGAAGGGGGAATGCAGGAGGAGGACGAGGACGAGGAATGGGACAGGTGACCACGAACGACCGGTAGGAGAGGGAGGAGGGAGAGGAATACGAAGTAGGAGAGACAGGAGAGGTGCGGGGCAGAGCCCACTCTAATGGTAGTGAGGGAGCAGCGGGAGAGAGTGAACAACACATGATATATAGCGAGTATATATGTGTGTATGTATATGTATATCTATATGTGTTTAGATATGTGTCTATGCGTGTGTATATATACACATCTATATAGTCATGCATTCGTTTTGAAGGAGGGGAGCAACCATACAAACAACATAGACATCTTGATAAACGGATGACGGGAGGCGCGAAGAGAGAGGAAGAGAGAGAGAGAGAAGGAGAGAGAGAGAGAGAGGAAGAAATTAGGAAAAGTGGGATACGACACAATGTTGATATCAGGAGGGGGGAGATCGAGGGAGAGTGGGTGAGAGAAAGAGAGAGAAAGAGAGAGAGAGAGAGAGAAACAAAAAGAAAGACAAACAAAAAACAAGAGAGAGAGAGAGAGAGCGATAGAGAAAGAAAGAGGGAGAGGGAGAGAACAAGAAGAGGGAGAAATAGACAGAGAGAGAGAGAGACAACCCATGAGGGGGGGACATAATTGGAGAGAGAGAGAGCAGACATAGAGATAGAGAGCGAGAGAACGAGAGAGGGAGACAGAGAGAGACCGGCACATATGCAGATGTAGATGCACATGTATGGATTCGCTTCAGATGTGGTTGGATACGTAGGAAGAGGACGATGGTCATACATATATGTATGTCTTGATCTACGTAGAACAACAACAACGACAGAGAGGGAGGAAGAGAGAGAGAGAGAAACATAACACATCGCAATAACAATACTTTGAGGTCGGGAAGGAGAGAGTGAGCGGGGGAGGGAGGGAGAGAGGGAGGGAGGGATAGAGAGAGAGAGAGAGAGTGCATGTGCGTGCGCTTGTGCGCGAGCACGGCTGTTTCTGCTTTGTTATTGTTGTTAGTGTTGTTGTTGTTGTTGCTGTTGTTGTTGTTGTTGTTGTTGTTGTTGTTTGTGGTGTTGTTGTTGTCGTTGCCGTTGTTGTCTAAAGAATTATTGTTGCTGATCTCTGGAAACGGTTCCGCGTGCTCTCGCTTCGACGCCGGCTACATTTTCTCTGAAAACAAGGTTTCCGCCCGAGCGTTGGCTTGAGCCTACATGTGGGCCCGACAACAACGGCACCCGCTCGACACTTCTTTACAATTTACCCCGAGACACCCTGGCCAGAGAGGCCCCCGAACTCAGGAACGGCGCTCTCGCTTGAGACTTCCTCGCAATTCAAAATCAAGTTGGCGGAGGCCCAGCCACGACGACAAGGGCTCCTGCTAGATACTTCCTCACGATTTGCTCCGAGGGCTCCTGGCCGAGAAGGCCCCCGAACTCAGAAACGGCGGTCTCGCTCGAGACGTTCTCGTAATTCAGGCAAGTTGCTGGAGGCCCGGACACAGCGACAAGGGTTCGCGTTCCATATTTCTCCATCGGTATTCCGAGAGCACCTGGCCAGAG